GCGTCGCCCGTCGGGGCGGTAGGTTTTGCCGGAAAGAAGCCGGCGGCGGGGAGGCCTGATGGTGGGGCTGGGCAAACACCTTCCCGTGAGGACTTAAAAGTGCAAACCGTTTAGCTTATCTGGAGGATTGACAAGTGACTTGATTGCCGCGTGTAAATATCTTTGTGGGAAAGGTGCTGGTTACTAACGGACCTTTTACTGCTGGTTCTTTTTAGGTCCTGACAATGAAGTCAGATAAAATCCACTTAGAACCAAGACCCGCGTTTTGTAAAGGTGATAAACTCCTGAAATGGGGTGGCTTTTCAGGCTGGGCAGACAGCAGAAGTCCTCATGGGAGGTATTGTCTGCACAGACCACGTCACCGGGCTGTGCACAGGGTGGGGCTGTCCTAGTCCAGGTGATTTAATGATTTCTTCTGGCTTTAAACTTTCTGAAACCGTGGGTTTCAAGATACCAAAGGAAATTTTGTCCCTGGTTTTAGTGGCACCAAGCCATTGAAAGAAGGTGATGGGGAGGCTGGGAGGTGGTTGGGCTCCCAGGGGTTGAAGTCACGCATCCCTGGGATGAAGGACCCTTAGGGATGGACAAGGGTGGTGGCACCGCCCAGACCCAGGGGTGTCTGACGGATCCCAGGAGAGCCTTGCTGGGCTCCTGCTTGAGAGGGGTTTGTTTCCGTGCTAAGTCATCTGCGGTTGAAAAAACAGATCCATTGTGAGTCGATGGAAAATAGATTATGCGAAATTGAATAAACATCATTTCTTGGCCCGGGTACAAATGAGCCTGCGCCGCCGTGCCAAAGCTGCTGCCAGAGGGGACGAGGCAAGACGTGCTTGTCGGGAGAGGGTCGTGTCTGCTCTCCTCCGCAGCCTTTATCGGCCGTGGTCCCTCCCCAGCAGCATGAGGTGATGGCTGAGCACACTCTGTGGTTGGGGAAGCCTCTATGGGAGCTGCTCTGTGGGAACGCCCCGGCCCCACTCGCCCATCGCCCTGCCGCTGCGGCACCTGGCTTTGGGAATCTGGCCTTATATGGGGCCCTGGGCGAAAGAGCGCAGAAGTGCCAAAACCGGAGCGATAACATCTTAAAGAAGAACGCTCCCCCTTCAGGCCCCGGGAGGAAGGAGATGGGCTTCCCTGCCCTCGGCTTTATTGGGGTGGTTTTTTAGCTCAGTACCTTATAAAGCCGTGCGTGACCCTGGGGCCGCGTGGCAGGGAGGGATGGATGCTCGGCACGGGGATGTGCTCAGCGCCGAGTGTTGTTTTGCAGCCTCCCACCCTGTCCACGGGCTGCCACGGCTCGCGCCTGCGTCTCCTGATCCAAGCAAACGAAGCGTGTCCTTAAAGAGCAACAGGCCACGGCTTTATTCCTGCTCAAACCAACCTGTCTGCGCGACGGCTGAAGGGCTGGAGCAGCGTGGGCTCTGCAGGCTGCTCGCTGGATGGGATGCTCTGCACGGTGCACCCCGGTGCCTTACGGAGCTGTGGGACGTGTGGGTGCTGTGTGTCTGGGGCCGTGGGTCCTGCGTGTCCGGGGCGTGTGGGTCCTGCGTGTCCGAGGCCATGGGTCCTGCGAGTCCAGGGTCGTGGGTCCTGCGTGTCCAGGGTGTGTGGGTCCTGCGTGTCTGGGGCATGTGGGTGCTGCAGGTCCGAGGCCATGTCCCCAGCTCCTCCCAGGGCTGTGCCCACAAGCCATCTGCAGTGACGGCGGACAGTGACGGCGCGTTCCGCTGTGCGCAACCTCAAGGCATCCCTCAAGCTGTGCCTTAGCAGAACTGCTAGGAGAGCAGTGGTTTTAGTTGCCCGATGCCACGGCTGTTTGGGATGACCAGCAGTGGTGGCACCAGTCACGCTCCTGCCTGCTGGTTTTTGGTTCCTGCCTCCCGTCGGTGGGGTCCTGGGGGATCTGTAGAGCTGTGCGCTCCTCAGAGGGAGCGAGATGCATTTTCCTGATTTTCCATCCTGAGAAACACCCACAGCATCTCGCCCCGAAACGCCGCTGCATGCTCTTCCCGTGCCCACAAACTCGCTTGCTCCTGTCCCTCCGACTGTGCCACCGCTGCGATTGCCTCCGCTGAATCCCGTCCCTGACTTCTCCGCCGGAGCTCAGGCGCTGTGCTGGCCGCAGTGGGTTGCAGCAGCCCTGTTTGGCTGTACAGCCGCGGCGGGGCGGGCCGCCGAGCTGTTCTGCGCGCTGGTAGCGAGACATCGTTTGCCTCATGTCTCTCATCTCGGAGGAAGGCCGAGCAATACCCTCCATTGCAAACCAGTGGCTGTGGTGGGGAGCCCACTGATAAGCAAAGCACATTTGGTGGAAAACCACACTCTTGGAGCAGAAAAGAAAGGGATATGAAATAAGAAATGTTTTATTTGACCCAGAAGTGCAGAAAGCTTAGCAGAAACATGAGCCCATGTCCCGGGTCAAAAGTTCGTTACCAAGTTGCCTCTGGTCCATGATGAGTGAAGGGCTTTCCACAGAGCTTCTTGCAGGTTTGGGTGGGATGCTGCCAGGATGAAACACCTCCTGGCTTCTTGGTGCTGTTGCTAGCGTCAGAGTTTATGAAACATGAATTTTAAAATTGTGAGGAACCTGTCACCGTTTCCTATTTGCATTTCACTCTTTGTGGAAAGGGAGAGGAGGCATGCTGGCCTCGTACAGCTGGACGGCTTAGCGGCTTATGGCCTTGGTCTCCCTTTCGGATTTTCCAGCACCAACTATGTTTAGGTTTCCAGCACTGCGATGTTTAAAACTGAACCGTACTGTTTTCCCTGAAACAACACTGGGGTTTGTCACTTTCTTTTTAAACAATTCTGAAATGGTTTTGGCACAGATGCCCTGCCAGCCCCCTCCTAAACAAACCCCGAGACAGGAATATGCGTGGACGCCTGCGAGAGGCACCACGAGAGCATCTGGTGGGGCTTTTCTTCTCGCCCTGCTGCTGCCCCTTGTGCCAGAGCCCGTCCTGATGTCTCCAAACCCTCCGAGGGGGTCGGTTAACAGGAGAGGAAGGAAAACACCACGGATTTGAGGTGGTGTGAGCCTGGGTTCACCCAGCGAGTCTCCAAACTGGCGCGGGCAGAGCAGCAGCCGTGCGATGTTCGGCGATGGCCGTGTGCTTTCTGCACAGCTGCTTTCAGGTCTGCTCCAGGGAAGCCACGCTGCCCCGGGGAGGAGATGCTGGGGGGGGGGAAAAACAGGATTTGAATTTTCATTGCCTTCCTCCACCTTGCCAGCAGGCACCGGGGCTGCGGCTGAGCCCGGCCGAGGCCCTGCTGGCTTCGCCTCTGCCTCGCGACCGGGCTCCCGGGGCTGGGCAGAGCCGCACGACGGTCAGGAAGGAGGATTTTTGGCTCCTGCTTCTTTCCAGGGGCCCGGGGACGCTGGCAAGGGCAGCTCTGGGTACCGCTGCAGCCATGGGGGTGGTGGGGTGGGGTGGCCGCTGGCTCTGCTGCGGGGCTGGTCGCGGCACAGATCCTGCTCTAACCTCTGCACCTCGAACTGTGTCTGGGGCACAGCGGTCATGCCGGGGCTGGGTCTCCCTATGTCCACGAAGGAGGAAAAGCAAGGCAGATGATAGATCTTTGCACTGGTAGAGCTCAGTCTGGACATGACACCGAGTAACTCATGCAGCACGGAGCTTTGAATGTCAAACCCTAAAAAGGCATTAAAAACCCCATCCATCGCCTCTCCCCCCAAATTAATGGTCCTCCCTCATCCCTGCTAATGAATATGGTCCATTCTTCCACACCCCTGGGAGCATTAGCCTAAAGG